CGAGTGTAGTGTATGAATCTTGTGAAAAAAAAAAAAAAAAAAAAAATTAACCTATGACGCGTTTATAAAAAGAAATAGCTATCCTTGAAAATCATAAAGCCCAAGATTCTCAACGGTGTCCAAAACTTTCAAGCATAAATCATCATTCACATTACTCCAAAATTCATCCTTCGTGTTATCTCGCATGGGTGATAAGCGATCATTTTGCCCGAGAAGATCGGCGGTGTCGAGAACCTCCCAGCATTCATTCGCGTTACTCGTCAATGCATCCGCCGTGTTATCTCGCATGGGTGATAAGCGAACATTTTGTTTATCTCGTGTAGTTGATACGCGATCTTTATGAACGGGCGATGTACCAGGTTGCAAGTCTGGTACAAAAACGTGTGGCGCGATCTGTACTATACCTGATGACAAAATTAAAATAAATATTTAAAGTGAATATAGAAAATAGGTACATACCATGAGCATTTTTCAAATGTTTATTGAGGCTGGTCTTGTAACTGAACGTAATGCCGCACCTAATACACGGTATACGAATACCCTCGTGCGTTTTTTCGTGTTTTGTCAGATTACGTTTCGCTGTAAATTCCGAAGCACATTTGCTGCATTTGAACAATTTCGAATGTGTTTTTCGGTGAGCGATCAGATTTGACTCGTATACGAATCCCAAAGAACATTGCTCGCATTTAAACATTTTAAAATAAACGGATAAGAAAAAATTAATACGTTATATAATAATTACGTGCGTAGTATTAGCGCAGAGCGAACGAGATGTAGGTTAATATAATAGAGCACTATATCACCAACTGCGGACAGTAATGAATAGTGACTATTCATTCATTCAAAAATCCCTATCGCCGCCGCCGCCACCACTGATCCCCGTCACGTGACAAAATACAGGGTCGTCGGACATCGTTAACGTATGTGATATATGGTGGGTTCAGCAGCCGTCAATGTATAGGGATGTGCAGGGGGTATAGGGAAGAGCGGGGTGGCGGGGGCATATCGTATACGTGCGTGATAGTTAGCTCAACCCATGGGTTGAGCAGAGAGCAACCATGGGTTGAGCAGACGGTGTAGTGGGTTGAGCAGACGGGTATAGTGGGTTGAGCAGACGGGTATAGTGGGTTGAGCAGACGGTGTAGTGGGTTGAGCAGACGGGTATAGGAATTTGCCAGCAGGTTGAGCGGACGGTGTAGTGGGATGAGCAGACGGTGTAGTGGGATGAGCAGACGGGTATAGTGGGATGAGCAGACGGGTATAGTGGGATGAGCAGACGGGTATAGTGGGTTGAGCAGAGAGCAACCATGGGTTGAGCAGACGGTGTAGTGGGTTGAGCAGACGGGTATAGGAATTTGCCAGCAGGTTGAGGTTACAGAACTCTCTTTTTCTACCTACTCTTGGCTTAAGTACAAATTATAAAAAACGAAATTCGGAAGAAAGTAATTTTTTAAAAAAAATTTTTTTTACCATTTTTAAGACCGAACGATGTTTAGGATTGTTTCATTGAAGATATTATGCCAAAGATTCCTGCAAATGAAAATATAAAATTATTCACCGATTCTATTTTAAAAACATACATTGCATCAGATTCTACATTTCCGCCTAATCTTTGGGCTGAATTTTCGACAATATCTAATCGTACAACAAATAGTTGTGAAACATTTCACGCAAAGCTGAATAGTTTATTTTGTACTTCACAACCAAATATTTATATTTTTATTGATTCACTGAAAGAAATCCAATTTAATGCATATATTCAAATAAGAAGTAAAAAGCTATGCAAAAAATCAAAACACAACATAGAAAAGGAGAATATAATATTAAGATAACAAATGACGAAGTACAAAAATAATGAAATTAGTAGACTTCAATTTATTCAGCTCGTATCATTAAAATATTTACCCGTTTAATATCAAGAGTATTATTTATTGTTGTTGACATTGATTACCTATTATTATTATTATTATTATTATTATTATTGACAAAATTAATTATTATATTATGTATTATGTATTATTGAATTGATTACCTATTTAATAAGCATTATTAATTTACTAGAATAAATATTTTATAAGGGACTCAATTCACCACTTTCATTTTTTCACAAGGGACTCAATTCACTGCTTTAACTTTTTTACAGGAGATTCAGTTTACCTAAAAATAATAATATATGACTCAATTTACCAAATCCGGTCGCAACTACTGAACGCTGCGTGCCGACTGGTTTCCTAAATGAGACTTTACTTTGGGGCTGGTGTATAATAGTTTATTTTATTCCAATACTTAGTAGTGTGCAGACGTGTTTAGTTTATAACTTTTTATTTTAATAACTATATTGGTGTACCTTACAAATTGTACGAACTGCGATGGAGGAAATTATTATTAATAATAACAAAATAATTAGTCTTCTTTAGAGGAGGAAGAAGAAAATGAAATGAATAATACATTAGAAATTAATAAAAGGAAATCAATATACAGTTTTTTTAAAACTTGAGAAGATGAAGGTTTTTTTGAAATTCTAATAAATAGACATTTACATAACAGTAAACAGAAATTTTTCCGTATACATTATGACCAGTTTATGTTCATTCTGGATCCGGTGCAGATGCGTACGTCTCATTTGCGTACAGTCTATTTTTAGTTACAAATTTTCTCACTTGCGTACAATATAATTACCCAGAATAACACCAAGTGTCATTTGCGTACACACTCATTTCCCTTCACACTTGGTCAGGCTTAGGACTTGCAGAATATTTTGCAATATCTGGCGTGTTTAAAATGAGGGCGCGCGAATAAATACGTAGCTAACCCTAAATGTAAAATATAAAATATCATTGTAATAAGTATAGTTCAATATAATATAATAGGTAATTAATATTCAATGTAAAATGTATAATAATATAGTAAAATTTAATCTAATTTGACGATTATGGCCAATTTTTTGAGGTAATTGTCTAAGTCGTTATTTTCTAAAAAGTTTTGAGTAATACGTTTAATTCTCTCGTCCAATTTTATATATTTTTTGTTTCGTTTAGTCCCTTCTAAATTTAATTCAGCGCGTAAAAGTCGATGGTCACTTTCTGCTGCTGCTGTTTTAAGTTTTTCAATTAAAACCCAAATACTCGGGTGCGATCTTCCCACCAATGTTTTAAATTTATGGTTCCATCCTTCGACGATATTGTTTGTTCGGTGCTTTCCATTATGACAATTTCACATTTCCTTAGAAATAGTGGCGGAGTCGAGCCAGTTTTCAACAAAATAGTCGTTAAATTCAGCTAGCTTCACGTCATCAGGTGCATTACTTTGAATAATAAGCCAAGCGTCGTCAATTTTATCAAGAGGAAGGTAAGCCATTGCTCCACACTTCCTAACATGCATTCGAATATCTTAATTTTGTTTATATACGGATGCTAAGCCAACATCCTGAATTTTTCGCCACAAGCATTGCGTAAAGTGGAAATGGCATCCACGTAATTTTATTTCAGGAAAAATAGTTGTTAAGGCGTTCATTGTAGCTATCTCGAAGTCGAGGTGTACGGACTGTGGATTCCATCCAATATTTTTCATTTCCTCAATAAGGCGATAGTACGTTTGTTGCTTTTTATCGGACAAAAGAGCAAAAACGATGGGGAAAGCATTGCGTTCGTGAAAACTAGAGCTTACATCGATGTGGAACGTGTATAATTGTGTCAATTGCTTACTACACTCCGACCGGAATTAGAACGTACCTCGTCGCGCAGGCGGCGACCGGTTCCCCTCCACCACCTTGTCTATATTGTGTGCCGCCGATATTGCATACAAAGTGGTGATATTAATCAACTATTAATTACTGTAATTATTATACAGGGCGCTCAAGTAATGACACATAGGAGTATAATGCACAACAGTTTTTTTTTGTTATCGGCCATATTATAAAATTCATATTATTATTTACTTATTTAAAGAATTTGCTTTTTTCAATGTTCAGTTTAAAAAAGTTATCAATAGATTCAGCCATTTCCAAACTTTCTGTAGAAAATCGTTTCTTCATATTGACAATAATGGAATCTAAAACATTAAAGTATGCATTTACACGAAAATAATCTTCAGCAGTAGCATTGTCAACTTCATTGGGTTCTTCGGCACCAGTAGTAGTCATCAAAACAAAATCATTAAGCCTATTAGGTTCTCTTCTTATTCGTTTTAATCCTAAGATACAAAAATACGTTAATAATTTTTAATTTCTACACCTAACTATAAAATTATTTAATAATATTTACTTTGTGTTTGAAATGGTATATCAAAGTTAATGTTGTAGTCTTTAGCAAAGTCTTGGATTTCTAACCATAAATGATTAAAAGCAAGAGTAGATCTACTATTTTCAAAAGTTTGTAAAACACTCTTGATAAGAATTGCTGCTTTGCCTAGAGTAGCATTTTTTTCTTGGAACATGTTGCAAAGAATATTAATTGTAGACAATATATTTTTTAAAATAAACAAATTAACAACAAATAAGCTTGTTGACATATTTGTAAGTATACCTGGAAAAAAAAACATAAAATATTATAATCCTATTAATTAAATGTTTTATACCATTTACCTAAAGCTTCATTTGCATTTCTATCTGTTTGATTGTCTATTTCTTCCTGTAAAATGTTTATAATAGCTTTATAATTGTATAATATTGCTTCACATTTCTTAAACCGACAGTTCCATCTAGTATCACTTTAGCAACCAATATGGATACTTTTTATTCCCAACTGTTTTTGCATGTTAACAAGCATCTGGTTTTTAGTTGGATGAGAAAAATGGACATAACATAACCCTTCAATAGTATTAAAAACAGTCCTTTTGTATAGGAGACTATACAAAAAAAAAACATAGCTAAAATAGCTAAAACATACTCTTACAAAAAATTACAATTTACCTTAACATATTTGCACATATCAATTACTACCAGATTTATACGATGGGCCATGCAATGCGTATAAATGGCATATGGAAATTTATTTTTAATTTTAGCCTGAACACCATTGAACTTTCCAGAGTCCAGACATTGCATTTGCCCCATCGTAGGATTGTGCCACAACATGAAACGTGTCCATGTTATTTTTAGTAAGGTAAGCAAATATATGGGCACTTAGGGATTCAGCATCTTGTTTGTCAGAAACGTCAATAAAACCCAGAAATCGTTCAACAATATTAAGACCAACAGTATACCTTACACATAAAGACATTTGTTCTTGCTTAAAACACCTAAAATTAAAATTAAAAAATCCAGTTAGTATGTGGTTAAAGTACCTACTTCTCTCAATAATTGTCAAACCTTTACTAAATTGAATTTTTTATAATTGTAATTTAATTGTTAGATTCTTAGCTTCATCACACATTATACCAAAAACTTTAGTGTCTTCAATTTCTTTTATAATTTTATGTCTTATGTTTTCAGCACATAAATTAGCCAACTCATCTTGCACAGCATGACTAGTGTAATTGGTAGTATTTTGAAACTTTTCTGCAAATTCTGGATAATGTTTTGCAATCAAACTGCAAATTTCTTTAAAATTTCCTGTAACAAGAATATATTATGTCTATAGGTAGTGAAAAATGTATCTGGTATTTCAAATGTTATAATAATGATAATCTAATAACGTAAAAATACCTAGTGTATAAATAAAAATATTAGTAGGTACCTTGATTTAGTGAGAGTTTTGATTCTTCATGTCCTCTAAAAGCTAATCCTTGGCAGCTCAAAAATAATGTTATATCAACAAGAGTTTTAATATATTGGACATTTTTTTCTACAAGAAGCTTGTGGCTTGATGCTACTTGAGAGTGGACACTTCCTGTTGTTATAGTTGAAATATAAGCTTCCCATTTGGCCATGCAAGTTAAATGCTGTTTACTAGTGGAATGTCCGTGCAGTTTACTCTGTTTATTTCCTTTTTTTCCTCTTGACCCGGATAACTAAATAGGTACAGTAAACATTTTTAAATATGATAAAAATTAAAAATAATTTAAACATAATTGAAAAAATACTTGCCTTTTTCCAGTTGTTGGATCCAATACTCGTAAAAGTAGAATCATTATAATCACTTGCTATGCTAAAATTGCGACAGCAAAAACAGTAAATAGCATCATGTCTTATACTATATTCTAGCCAACTAAAGCTTGAATAATAAACGGAATTAAAACCACGGTTTTGTTTCCCAAAAATAGTTTTTGGATACGACTATAGTACAAAATACATCAATTATAGTTATAAATATACAATAAACTCTAAACATTTAAAAAAATTTGGTTTTATACTTGCCTCAAGTACTGGACGAGCTGGACCTGTCAGTAAAGTTCCTAGATCACAAGTCTCAGGTTCAGGTACTTTTATAGGTTCAAGTGATTCAACTGTAGCAATACTCCCTTGACTACTACTTAAAGTGTCGTTTGGGTAATTATCGTCTATGACATTAGTACAAACCGAGACCACAGAAGACGACGAAGGCGGGTTATTCACATTAAAGATCGCAAATAATTTCTTAGACATATTGATAATAATTAAATAAATTTAATTTGTAAGCTGTTAACCACTCAAATGACAAATACTCAATGCGATATTGAGATGTGCGGCGAAAAACAAAAATACACAAAATTCGTCGGTTATGACATAAATTGAATATACTAGTATATTTAATCTATGATTATGGTGACTATCGATTGTGGTGATATAATATTACTGATAATGTTTGTAAAAACCTTCATAATTATAGTTAAAAATAGCATATTATTACGTAACCGTTTATACGAAACAGGGACGACGCGACGCGAACGACTGCTGATAAACAACCAATGCGGGTGTAATTGTTTATTATCAATATTACATTAATTACGATGGTTCCAACTTATGACAATAAGTTCGTAAAATTGTACGAAGTAAATTTATTTATTAATTATTATCATAGAATATTTTTTCATAATTTATTTTGTAATTCAGATATTAAAAATGCATTTTTTAATTATACTAATTATTATATATTTTTATATATTTAGTCACATTAAAATTGTGAGGGCCAGGGGGGCTAAGACATGTACTTTAAAATTCTGAGGGGGCTTAGTCCCCTCTAGCTCCCCCCCCCCCCGATTTCCGCCTATGAGGATAATGTTCATATTATGTACTATTATATATTTTATTTTTTTGTGTCTGAACGTCTGAAAACATTTTTTCAAGTAGAAAGATTCGATTTTAAACTTCGAAGGTGGTTTCAATTGGTCACCAATTGGATCTAGTTGGTACTTTTAAAAATGTCCGTACCTACTTACTTTTACAAACAGGACGGAATTCGTAAAAATCGCAAATTTTTTTGTCAACATAATATTGTCTTCATTCTTCGCTCTAAATAGTTTTTCATCGTAATTCATAAGCAGTTAAATTCCAATTTAAATAAATTACCTAATACAATATCTTTTACAGCATAATACAATTATTTTATAATATTGTTATAAACTACTAATAACTAGAGATGATAAGCGATTACAAAAGTTATGCATTTGTTAGCTAGGTATCCAAGTTCTTTAATCATCTAGTCAAATCAAATGACGCACACATTAGTAGTAACTACTAACTAGGTAGTACTTAGTAACATTGATTATAATATACTATAATCATAAATATTGATTTATGAGCTAGTAGTTAATCTACCTATTGAATTCTATTTTCATTTATTTAATATAGCAAATTTATTCCCTCAGGGCCCGTTTTACAATCATAGTTTAAACCTCGGTTACGCTTGAACCACTGATTTCACCGGCCGAATTCGGTGGTTTAACCGGAGTTCAACTATTGTAATACGGGCCCTCAGTGATTTCCGTGAATATTGGTTTAATATTGGTACCTATACAAATTAAATTATTCATTTTTTATCGCACCTAATGTGATCTAATGAGAGTTATTTGGATGATATATTCGCTAAAAACGACGTCCGATATATATTTTTGTACTCAGTAACGTTGTATAAACGAATATTCTGACGATATTTTCTATAATGTAACAGAATGTACCAGGAACGTATGCTATGATCGTGATTGCCGTTGAGCGAGTAGCTACTGCTACCGCGCGTCGTCGCAACAACCGCCGAGCCGCCGCCGCCGCCACCGCCGAAACTGAAGAAAAGTTACGAATAGTTCATGAGTTCCTGGTACTAGTGGTACTTCTTGCACCTTGTTTTTAGATTTTAGTTCGTATGTTTACTTTACAACCTCCCAGACCAATTTATTGAAATAAAGTATTTTATGTCACGATGCGTGGCTAGCCGGGAAAAAACATTCCTGACGAAATACTTTAATATTTATTGAACAGTTATTTTAGCCAAAACAGCCAATTTTTATTCCATCATACTGATCGATCTAGTAATGCGATAATACTTTTAAAAACAAATTTGATTTCGTTATTATATCTACTTGAGATGGGTCATCCACTTTTCTCAATTTCACCCCCCAAACCTCTAAAAATGTAGCTTGAATATTTTGAAATTTCGGAATTTTCAAACGTTGATTATTCGGGAATTATTCGGAATTTAAAGCAGAAATCTTAAAATGTGGACTGACTGATCTCAAATGGACATTCTAACGAATTCAGATCAGTTGTCTGAAAGATTATCGCATTATTAGATCGATTGGTTGGATTTAACAAAAAAAAAAAAACGGGAGCGATAAGTTATAGTGACGGTCCGCGATAGATTGATTATAATTTATAATTTATAAATATCTTGCGTATATTGATAATATAATACAATTATTGATAATATATAAAATATAAAATATTTTGACTGTTCACAAGCTGTTTCGGACATTTTCAGTTTAAAATTTTAAAATTTTTTTTTCTATAATTGTCAATAAATTTTATTTGTTGGGTCAAAAAGTGTGAAAATTTAATGCGAAGCTCCTGATATATTGTTACTATAGAAGTTGAAAAATATTAAAAAAAAGGCACAATTTTTTTTACAAGTTTTATATTTCAAATTTATCAAATTTAAAACTTAAAAAATGATATTGTAGTTAAATTGTATAAAATGTTCAATTTGTACAGCTAAGCATTGAAAATGTAAAACAAGGTTCCACGTTAGTAAATTATTCTGTAACCAACAAATTTCAAAAAAATAAGAACACAGTTTTTTTTATAGTTATTTTATTTTCTAATTTGGACGAAATTACATATTAACAGGGGTGAACTGACTATTTTTGGCCCGGGGTGCAAAATTAATTAGGGGCCCGTAATTTTTTTTCAAACCTAAATAAATTAGGAAAGAGTCCTTAATTTTATAAGTAAATATAAAAAAAAATTAAGAATAACATGTTATTTATTTGTAGAGATGTTAAAATATGGTATTTTATTTTTGTTTTGTATAATACCGTATTATACCATATAGAACATTGCAGTACCTTAAATTATAAAAAAATTAACAAAAGGGAAAATTGATTAAATGAAAAAATGGATAGAAGGTCAGAAAACATTTAAAAAATACATAATACAAGAATTATTTTAGACCTATTTCACCAAATTAATATTTAGTCATGCTACCATGATGTAAGTCCATATACCTAGTGACTTAAATTTAAAATATTTTAATTACAATTCACTATTCATAGTAAATTATATTCTTAAAATATCAAATAAACTTCAAGATAAATTAGGATTTGAGTAACCTTATTATCTGCCAACTATCATATAAATATAGGTATTTACTAACTTTTTGGTTACCTACACATTTGTTTTTCTTGTATGTACCAAGTACTTATATTTAACGTAAGAGATTTAGTAAACAAAATTATACTAACAAAATTATTTAATCCTTAAAAAGTTTAAGTAAACATAAGTATTAGGGTATCTGCTTTTTTCAAAAATGTTTAATTTTTAAATAGAAATAAATAGAAAACTATACTTAATATTTATATAGTTATATACTATTTCATTGTAGGTACCTAAGTTTACAATAATATTTTATTACAATAAATTGATTTATGTCATTTTTAATAAGTTAATACTAAATAAATATGAATAAAATTATAGTTTATATTTTAATTTTTTATAATTATACAGTATTTTATTGAAGATCCATTCTATAAGTACTACTAAAAAATTAATATTTGAGTTACTATAATTATATAAATATTAAATGGCAATAAGCCAATAATTTGATTGCAGTATGCTTATTACTTCATTGTTTGCATATCAAAATGGATAATAACTACTTAATTAATTATCTTTAATTGTGGTTATAACTAAAAATAAAGCCTTTTTTTTTATATACCATGTGTATAATACCTTGTATAAATGTATAATACAGTTTTATACCACTCTAGAATACAAACTCGCGTCTCTATTTATTTGGGAGTATGATGCAGACATGGAACACAATACAGATATTAGATACTTATAGTAACAATTTTTTTATGTAGGTAGCTTAGACTAGATTTTTCGATTTAAACTCACCCAAAGGAACACATGTATTTTATTGAATACTCAATTATTCTTAAAATTATAAAGTTTTAATGCCAACATAACAAGAAGGTAGCTATATAATATATTATGAATAAGAACAAATGTCTTCTGTTCATACACTCACAATCCACATAGTTCAATTTTAAACATACATAAATACTTTATTAATTAAAATATACCATACAATATTAAAAATATAATATAGTTTACGTATAACTTATATACGAGTATCTTTATATAATTTCCTACATTTAAATGTATGAGTTAACAATAGAAATATAATAATCGTATTTTAAATACCTATAGAAATTAAATACTTTAAAATAAAAGTAATCTACTTAATTCGTTAGAACTTTCACCCAATAAATTAATAGTTTCATCACTAGTTGGAATGAGATCACTTTCAATAGATAACAACATCAACGCTTCAAGATGCTCTTGGTTGATTGCTGCTCTTAAGCGGGTTTTAATTATTTTTAATTTAGAGAAGGCCCTCTGACTTTTGTGCATGCTAATGTCATAGCAACTACATATATTTTATATAGGTTCTTGAATTCTGAAGGCGATGAACCCATGTAATAATATTTGTGTAAGATAGAAAATGCGCATGGAATGAACCAGCCATTATTTTTACAATTACCTGAAATAAAAATATAACAAAAAAATTAAATGTTTGTTAATTATTATAATGAACTTTGAAATTTACTTTAATGACCATGATGCAGTCTTCATCTCCAGATTCATATTCACTTAATTCTTGTTTTTCTTCAACTGGCATAATGTAATTTGAATTGCAAAGAGGTATCATGGTCTTGTACGATGTAGCAAAAGCTATTAGTTCTTCTAAAACTTCAGTGACTTCATGCTAGTACTCGTTCCTCAGCTTTACCGTTAAATATATACCTCAAACAAATACATAATTGATCTATCACTGCTACATCTTGAGTAGAATCAATTTCCAGAGAAAAATGTTTCACTGAAGATAGTTGAGTCGAAATGGTTTCTTTCACTTTTAAACTCATTAGTAAGAGTAAGTTATGTTCATTCTATCGTTGATGAAGGATGATAAACAATTACCTCCATCCAAACGAGTTAAAAAAACAATTCAACCTAACGAAAAATTAGCAGTTACTTTAAGGTAAGTATATTTATTTATTTTTAAATATTGTATTCCATTCATTATTAATAATTAATTAAAATAGATAGTTAAATTACATTTATTCAAATGTTTAAATTATAATGTAGGTACTTTAGTTAAATAATAATGATAATTGGTAGTTATCGTAATTATCGTAGTTATCGTAATCGTATCAAATTATTCACAACAGTGATAAGAATACATACCTATATTTCAAAATTAACGAAATTCAAAGTATTAGTTACCTAAACCTACAAAAAAAATATATATTTTGTGTAATCCGTAAGTACCTTGCAACAGGGGAATCGTTTAGATCACTGTCGTTTGCATTTAGGATTTCACATAGCTATATCAGTCTAATTGTCAAAAAAACACTATCAGCTTTATGAAAATATTTAACACCTATATTTCTTCATATCAACCGTAGATTTTAATGTCAAGGCTTCCGAATTTTGGACAAAATGGAATTTTACAAACTGCATTTGGGCAATTGACGGAAAACACCTTCGAATAAGAAGTCCTAACAACACTGGATCACTTTTTTTCAACTATAAAGTTTATTTTTCAATTGTACTGCTGGCTATGGTTGACGCCAACTACAAATTTATTGCTGTAGACATTGGTTCGTTTGGTAGAGAAGGTGACAGCGGAACATTTTTAAAGTCGAACATGGGTAAAAAATTATTAGATGGGTCATTTGGTTTTCCAGAAGTAAAACAATTGACTGGGTCATCAACAATTTTACCTCATGTTATTGTGGGGGATGAAGCTTTAAGGCTTCACACTCATATAATGAAACCATATACGAGACAAGCCTCAAGAGATGATAAGACAAAGTCTATATTTAATTATAGGTTAAGTCGTGCCAGGCGAGTGACGGAAAATGCGTTTGGTTTATTAAGCCAGGTTTTTCGAGTCTTTTACCAGCCTATAAACATTGAACCATCGACATGTGACGACCTAATCACAGTAGCTTGCTGCTTGCATAACATGCTAAGAGATGCATATTTAGAAGAAAATGGACGAGCATTTAAAGAATTTGACCCAAGAGAACCGGTACCAATTAACAATGTAATACCAATTGCAAGAGGATGTGGTTTTGCAAACTCTGAAGGATTTGACGTCAGAGAAGCATATAAGGACTTTTTTTTAATAATGAAGGAGCTGTTTCGTGGCAGAATAACATATAATTTATTTATATTATTATTTAACTTCACTTATTTTAACTTTAATATTTAAAATTTAAATATCAAATAATAAAACAAATAAAAACTTTATACGTATTAAAATTAAAAACAATACTTTTAAACATTATGTAACATTGTGTATTCTTGTATTTCAATTAAAATATTAAAAACAATAATTATAAATGTCTTTGAATAATTATTATAATATACATACATGTATTTAGATATATATAGTTGTTGGTTATTGACTTATTGATTGTACATACATGGCTCAAATCCTTGAGAAGTAGCCGCCGAGGAACTGAGGCAAGGCGATGGTGTTGCTTGGAAGTGATATAATATTGTTAAAATCTGTTGTAGACCTACAGGTGTTTGAAACATCATTTGCGTGGGTGTTTGAAACATTGGTTGAGTGGATTGCGCTCCAGCGTCACCTAAGTATTTATCTTCGAGCTGTGCAACTAAAGATAATATACTAAGTTTAGCTTCAGTTTTGCCTCTGGGAGGTAGCTTCTTTACTGAAATCGCAATGCTCCTAAAAAATAAATCTATCTCGTCAGTAGATGATTCACTACCCAAAATTGCTTCGTTTTGCGCTTGTAAGCTATTTATTATTGCTGTTCTGTCATTCAGTCTTTTCATATAGGTACTCTGATTTTTCATACTTGGCTCTTGATCTTTTTCCGTGTATGACCTCTTCAGCTCTAATAGTTAGTTCATCCAATGGCCCTCCGGTATTATCTTGACTACTTCCAGGTATTGTGGAGTCAAGATCATTGCACACATTCTATATCGTACTAAAATATTAAAATATATAATCATTTTCTTTGGTACATACCATATATAAATACATATTCCTCATAAGTTTGTCAATCTTTATCAATAAAAAGCAAGGCTGGGAAAGTTAATGATTTTTTTTTAACTCAGTTAAGTTAAGTTAATATGCACCAATAACAAAAAGTTAAAAGTTAATGGAACTGTCGGTTAACTCATATAAGTTAAAAATTAATACACACTTTTACTAACTTTTTATTGAGTTAAAGAAAAGTTAATTTGTTTATACAACGCTTGCGTACTTCATTTTTTTCCAACCCAAAACTAAATTATAAACTATAGTGTTTAAACTTCATACAGTATTTCCATAAAATTTAGATTCGAATGATTTAAACAATTTAAACAACTTTAAACAATTCACGGTAAATATTTTTTGATATGAAAACGAAATAGACTGAAATTGTGAAATATAATAAAATTAAAAACAAAATAAATTAACTTAACTTATTTCTTAACTCTAAACAACGAAATTATAGATCTCATTGAAAAACGAAGAAAATACAAAAACGCGGTTAGTGAAGAGGGAATAGCAGAATATAAAAAATATAATCCAACAATAAATAATAAGATAATCATATAATTACTGAGAACCAATTATTTATACAGGTACAATACCAGAAAAAACTTAAAATAGAACGGGCTTTAAATTGTGTGCGTGATCGTACGCCCATCACGGCATCACCGCTGCTGCAGTGTGTGGGGAGCGAAGACAATTTATAATTATAACATTAAATATTTAAATATTAAATACCTAATTATTTAATTTTTAAAAATAACCGTATTTTTAATTGTTCCCTAGTCGGGACTGTTTAGAACATACATTTTCAATCCGATATTGGATATTTATTATTTTCGTACAGTGTATGCGTGTTTGTCGTTTATTACTTTAGTATTTACTATTTCATAATAATCATTATATTATTTTGTTATTTAATTTTTCATTATTCTGTTTCAAATATTCGTGTTCACTGTTCACATTTCAAATTTAGAAACCGGTATTCAAAACCGAAACCGAAAAATTTAGAAACCGATATTGAAAACCGAAACCGAAAAATTTAGAAACCGGTATTTAAAATTTAAACCGAAACCAAAATTATTTCAATCTGTTTCAAGCCCTGGAATTGATCACCCCCGGTAGGTGCTCAAATAGAAATATTTGGTGATTTACGATAGACATTTTTGTTTATTAATGGTTGCTATGGGTTATAGGAGTTGAAAATAATATTTATTTATTTATATTTTTTTTATATTAATGGAGCGTCTCAATCTCATTCGTTTAAATCAGTTGAAGTTACGATCAGACGAGTGCATTCAATTGCTTGACGCCATCGCTACTGAAAGAGACTGAATATTGGTCGTTTGACCATTTTCTCAGCTACTCATGTTGGAAGCCCACGCATGATGGATTCAATCGCGAATTGCAACGGGAGCAAGACTATGAGATGAGCTGGCTGGAAGAGTCGAACAAAGTGCCGAAAAAAAGAGCCAAACACTATCTTCCTCTTTTGTTTAACATAATCACAAATCAGTGGAAAACTACACCAATAATTATACCACTAAATAGGTATGGTAAAACATATTTACTCGATGATGGTTTGAGTCAAAAATATGACCGGACTTAAGAAAATATTGAGAATTACTCTAATACCATAAAATTTAAAACATACTACAACTAGTAAAATTTGGAGCTTCTAACTCAGTACCAAGGACTGTATGAACAAACTGTTTGAAATTCATATTTTTACAACATTTGATATTCACTCGATTTCTCATGTAACGATTTTCTTATTTTATTGTAATTAAAAAACGAACGATTGTAGATACTTGACAATTTTACTGAATGTTTATATTAGCATTTCCTATAAACCATAATATAATTTTGACTCTTTTTGAGCTGTTGAGGAATTTGCCATGCTTCATTTATAGCAACTTCTAAAAAAACTAAGGCCTCTTTAGCTATTTCCATAGTTTCATTGCGTATATATTCGCCAACATTTAAATAGCCATGGTAATTTGTTCCATCCCATTCTACATGCTGCCTTACAGCCGTTTCATCCATTACTAGTGCACAATATACAGGTTTTAAAGTATTAAGTACATTTTAAGGCAAGAGTGTTCAAAGCTTCTGTTGTAAACCCTGGTACAATTGATATTAGAATACCATTTACCAAGCATCCGAGGATGTGGAAGAATCGTATTAAATTCTTTCCTGACAAAGTTGTAAGCAAACACGGAACTAAAATGCTAGGAAATAGCAAATCTACGGAGTTCTGGGCAATATTTTCTAGTAGGCGTTATTCCAGCATTTTTCTTAGCAAGCCTTGAAATTAAATGTTTATTCTCACCAAAACTATCCAATAAAAATGTTGATGTGTCTTCATTTATCAAGTTGTTATCTTTAAGGCTTGAAATAATGCATTTTAAAGATACAATTTTTTTCCTTTGACGACGGATTGTTTAGTTCAAAATTTTAATATTTTTTGATTTCAAATCGGTGTCATGGGATAAGACAGAAATGCCTCGTTTAAGAAATCGTCTCCTGGGTGTGTCATCGTCTTCCACAACACTGGCTTCAACAAACAATTCTCTATTGATCTAGTAAAAAAATAAATATTAATATTGTGATAAACTATTAAACATAAAAAAAAATTAAACACACCTTGGTTGGCAATTCGTTATTAGAGATGTTTTTCACTGTCATTGGCAATTTTACCATAAGAACTACTTAGTTCCAAACATTCAACTCCATCAATTTCAGGTTCCAATAACTTAGGAGAATTTGAAGTTATGCTTGAACTACAACCAATATCTTCCAAATCATCTACTTCATACATTTGTATCCAAGGTACAAATAATATAAGATACCTATACTAATCAAATTATAATTAAATTGATTTCAATAATTACTTTCATTAACTGGTGCTTCAGCATGAATCATTGACCAACATTCATCTATTTCTTCAGTAGGTACCAGTGCTAACGCACATATTCTTCGAACAGTTTTCTTTACTTCGTCATTTTGTCTATACTCGTGCGCTAGTCAAACTTTTTGTACTTGACGCCATATGGATTGCCCAAAATGAAAAAGGCATCCTTTTATTTCCGTATTATATCCAAATGAATCTCTAATGGCAACAATCATTCCTATTACAAAATCAATTTGAAACGTTTTTGGTTTAAAAGCCAAATCATTTCTCAAAGCAGCTTCTTTAATAATATTGAACATCCTTGTATAAGTATTAGTGCTTTTATTCGGTAAAAGAGCATAAACCTAAATATAAATAAATATTTCAAATTATAATGTTTGATATGAATGAATTATTTCATAATATACAGGGTGATTCAAAATGTATTTTTTCGATTTTTCGATTTTTTTTTTCTTACATTGTTTTAGGTTTTTTTATAGTTTTTAGAAATTCCATTTTGACTGCATTACATAATAATAAAAAAATCACCCTGTATAGGAAAATTGCTTTTGTCAACACGATTAGCCAACTCAACTCCGTGTGTTGGGTGATTGTGAGGCTTCGATAATTTTGCGTCAGTTTTATTTTTCAAAATAGCACGACCGCCGCAATTTTGTATACATTTATAATATTCGGTTTTGTCCCGTATTCTATCCACTCGGTGAATAAAATTATTGACTACTTATAAATCATGATTTTTTTCTGATTTTATTTTAAACCATTCCATTTTAATTTTTAACTAACTAACTATTAAATTTTGAACTTTAAAGTACACACGGCTGGAACGAACTAAATTCACCAGTCTGTACTCCCTCTGGATTTTATATGTGGGAAATCATTTAATCATTGAACTTATCGACAACATACTGTGTTATCGCTGTCATAAAATCCGTTTTTGATAAAAACTATAAATTGTCACCTGTCGGCGAATCGGGAAAATTTAAACTATATTTATAATTTGTCGGCAAACTAGACTGTCGGCGAAATGGGAATGTTTCTAAAATATTTTAAAACTGGTATATTTGTCGGCGAACTGAGTTGTCGGCAAATTGGGATTCAGCAAAGTGGGTATGAACCAGTTAGAATATTTTGCCGAAGATTGTAAGAATCGTGGTTAAATTTGGGAAAAAAGGTTTCTATTGTTCGTAAATTGTGCATAAATGAGTTGCACCTTACCAGTAAACACCCCCCATAAAGAAATCCTAAATCCTAAATTCAATTCAAATTTAACGCTATACATTATAGTGGCTCACTCGACATTTCCTATACAGCAGAGCGGGCACACACTTTCCTGCTTTTTATTAATTTAATTTGTTTTTGTATGAATTATTTTAATTTATTTAACTATAACTTTCTACAGTTTTTAAAAATAACACTTTGTTTGATTAATTTTAGATGATGTAAATGTCATCCAGGACCAGGACCAACTTGCACCTGCTTTATCATACTCAATTTGTGGGATTCGTTGACAATAAACGGTATATATTGATGAAATAGGGTTCCATTACTACCAGCATTCGATCAGGGGAGAAATTCGGTAAGTAGTTCAAAGACATACATTTCTTCTCATCTATAATTACTTAATAGTAATATATTTAAAACATTTTAAATAAAACTAAATTTTATATAAATATTCAAATTAACATACCTATTTTTATTCTGAATTTAGTTATTTGACATGTGCAAATCGACGATATAGTTGTCCTGTGTCAACAAACATGCAAATTAGAGTTGGTTCTCCAATAAATATTTCTGCTAATTATCCACAGCATAATCATGAACCTGCACCACGGTATGCAGTATCTCACCGTAATATGATTAATAGACTCCGTGAAAGAGCAATTTCAGAAAATACTGTTGCTC